TCTAGCCAAGATCATCAGTCTGAAGGCAGATCTGCTGGAGGAGGATTTCTGCAGTGCCTTCAGGAGAATTCCATTCCTCTACTGGTCCGTGATCTGAATGGCTCTGACCTGGATCACCTTGGGAAGTGTGGATAATGCAATTCAGATGACTTCAGTCTGTGGCGCCGTGCAGCAGGGCTGCCCAGAGCGGCGTAGTACGGCACGCGCCCATCAGCACTTACAATCTGGGGAGACTACTGGCTTCCCCACCTGCCCATAATCCAAAGTAGAGAAGCTAAGAAAGTTGGGGATCCAGAGAGATGCAAGTGTCATGAGCGCTCAAATGGAAGAAGGAGGGGGCAGGGGACGGGATGGGAGTATCAGGGAGAGCTTCCTGGAAGAGGGGGATATTCTTCATGGGTTTTCTACACATTCGCAGGTTAGGGGGACAACCTGGGTAGGCCACGAGGAGGATCCCTTCAGGCAGAGAAGAAAGAGCTGAGGCAGAAGCACAGTGGAGAGGGAGGTGTTGGAGCATCGCTGGGTTCTGGACGGGCTGCGGTAGCAACCGCGATTCATAAAAGGCGAAGCACCCAACACCACATGGTCTAGGTCAGGCACTATGGGAAGTAGAAGGAACGGCCTTGGCAGTAAGAGATGAGAGAAGAGGCTGGACTTAGGCTGGGCCAGTGAGGTGAGGCATGATTCTGTAGGGCAGAGACAAGGAGGACAGATAAGGCTTCTATCAGGTGGTTTAGGGACCCTGACTTAAGGAAGGACAGCTAAGGAGACCACCTGGAGGGGGCAGAGTCAGGATGGGAGGGGTCCAGGTCACAGGGTGGGGATGGAAACCAGGGGGGCTCTGGGCTAGACTCCCCATGATGAAGAGGGCAAGGTTGGGTAGTGGCAGCGGGAGCAGATGAGAGCCACACACTGGCCAGCGGGGTATAGCGAGGACTGCCTACCCCTGTGGGTACTGAGCCATCTGCTCCCAGCAGGTCTGTACCCCTGCACCTGAGGGTGCTGTACCCCATGCTTTCCATTCATCCTGCCTAGACTCATTCTGTAAGGCAGAAGCAAGGCCTAACTCTGAAGCATTCCAATTCCCAGGTCAGGGGCGGCCTTTAAACATGACCAACCCCCGGAACCCCAGGAGCCATGCAGGGATGATGGGGAAGGCTTGCCTACCGCCCAGTGACTATGGTGGACTGAGCAGGAAGAGCCCTCACGTGGGGAGGTGAGGCAGACCTTCAGACTGCAGAGGCCTTGACCTCAGAGATGGCCAGCAAAGCCTGCCTCCGACCTTCCTCCTTCCGCTTCCCTGGCTCGCTCTCCTTCTTCTCCCTCCTTCTCATTCTCTTCCCTCTCTCCTCCACAATTCAGCAGTAGCCACCACATTCTATTGATTCCACAATCACAAAACCTGTCACATCTGCCACATCCTGTATCCCACTGCCCTGCCTGAAGCCAACCCGTCCCATCCTGTCCAGCCTGGAGCCAATCTTGCCTCGGCTCTTGACCTCAGAATAAGGTTACATTTGGAAGCAGCATTCACAATGCCTGTTAGCCCTCTGGGGCTCAACTGTGGCCCCTCTGTCTCCCTCTCTGCACCCCACTCTGCAGTTCAGCCCGAGCTGAACGGACACCCTCACAACCCCCCATTCCGTTCCCCCCACCCTGCACCACGATGTACTTGCACAGCTTCAGCCCAGCGTGGTCCGGAGGTCTTCCTGGCAGTAGCCTCCCCACGAGGAGGGGAGGTCCATGAGACCAGGGACTGTACCTCACAGTGAGTTCTCAAGAAAGGCTTGCTAAGTGATGGATGAGAAGGCTCCCGGGTCACTGCCATGGGCATGCAAGGTTGGCCCAGGTGGCTCCGGGCAAGGAAAGAGGGGCACCCTGTGTAAGACTTTGGGGATTCAAACTACAGGTGGCAAGACCATAAAGGCAGGTGGTGCAGGTGGCGCAGATGGGGTAGACAGAAACTTCATCAGGCTACTTCCTAGCCTCTCTGAAGTCTCAGTTGTTTGTGCAAATGCCCATCTACAAAGAGGGAGCCCAGTGAATTCACACATGCGCACACGTACACACGTGTCCCTGCCCTGAGCCTTGAAAACCGCTCAGAATTCATGAGTCAATAGGAAGCTGAGTTGGCCCCATGGCCCTCGCTGTCCTCATCCCTGCAGGTCGGGTGCCTGCTGTCCCAGCAGTCCCCGCCCCACGAGGCATTTGTTGGCCACCAGAGTGCCCATCTGAGCCAAAGACGAGACTGCTGGGCAGACCCCAAAGATGGGAGGCGGCTAGCCCTGCTCGGAAAGCAGCCCCATCTTCCTCCTGACCGACGTCTTGACGCTGTGGCCAGAGCTCGCTCGCACATATGATTTATTAACTAATTTAGCATGTAAGAAAAACATCTGCATTTCGCTTTTATCATCTTGCCAGCAGACAGGCTGAAGACAAGACGTGTACTGTAGACTTGTTTAATGGGGCCCTAAACACTCCCTTCTCCCTTGCCCCAGCTCACATAAGGCTCGGGCTCCAGACGTCGTCTGATTTAACTGACCTACACAAACAAACAGAAGCATAAAGCTCTCAGCAACACATAAATACCGCAGGGACGGGCAGAGTGGCCATAGAGTCCTGCCCGCAGCACCCTAGCTGCTGGAGCTACCTCAGAATTGGGGAGCTACAAAGGTACCTCGGTTATTTAAAAGTACTGACTAGGTCTGATCACACTTTGTTATAGATGAGTTGAAGATGTCCATTTAAAGTCAACTTCATTAAAAGATGTCACTGGATGTGAACTTGTAAGATCTGTTTAGGGGGAAATGCCATGGTTGGACAATAGTGGGTAGAAATACTTCTCCCCAAATAGACAAGTTCAAGTCCTTACCTTCCAACCCAACCTGTGATGGTGAGCTCACTGGGAAGCAGGGTCTTTGCAGATGTGTGAGAGTTAGAATGGTTCACACTGGATAAGGCTGGACCCTGATCCCGTGACTGGTATCCTTCTAAGATGAGGAAATTTGAACACAAAGTCACGCAGACAAGGGGAGACGGAGAATGCAGTGATGCATCTGGAAGCCAAGGAACACCACGGCTTGCCAGAAACCACCAGAAGCTGCCAGAAGCCACCAGGAGCCACCAGAAGCAAGAACGCAGCCAGACCGCGAATTCTCCCTCCGAGCCTCCAGAAAAAAAAAACAACCATTTAGATATATTCAGTTTGGATATTTGGCCTCTGGACTCTGAGAGAATAAATTTCCATTATTTTAGCCTCCCGGCCTGTGGTCACTTGCTAAAACAGCCCTAGGGAGGACCGCCGGGCATCTAATATTGGCGATGGTGGAAATCCTGGAGTATCCGGCACCCACCGTGGGCACAGCTGGAAGGCAGCTGGCCTGGGGGATGGAGAGCCCAGCACTTGCCGCTGAGGAACGGCCCCGCACAGAAGATGCTCCTGAGTGTCTCTGGGTCCCCATTTCTTCCCACACAAAGGGATCCGACTAAAAAGGAAGCTAATCAGATGTAATTTTTCATCTGTGGAGCCGTGGAGCTCCGAGCAGCATTGTTTGGTTTGTTGACAGCACGTTTGTTAACCATTTATTAACAGGTAGGATCCTCAAAAATGTCAAGGCCCAGGGGCCCACACATCATAAGCACCCTTGTAGTCCTTCCCGGGACAAGCGCAGATGTCCACGTGCCCGGGGGGCTCCCACGTGTGGCCGATGGTTCCTCGTGGTGACTTGAAAAGTCTGCACCTGAACCCGACCGCACGTTGTTGAGCAAGAGACTTTAGTCCCCAGGAGGACACACCCCAACTCGAGCCTGGATCTGCCATGCAGCTTGAGACGCTGGTGAGATGCATTTTCAAAGAGGAAAAGTCTTTGTGTGTTCATTTTGTTGATTTCCTTTTAAAAAAAAAATCTTTTAAAGCGTACTGGAAAATGTCACTGGGAGGGAGCAGCAAGTGTCCTGCCCAATCCTGCGCCACGAGAAGGAGGCTCCTTGCCCGAGGTCTTCTGACCTGCAGCACCACGGGTGGATGAAGGAGAAAGCCTGCCCACGGGCCGAGGAAGTGAGCAGAATTCTGGAACAACACCCTTTGTCCTCTGTCACCCAGGCTCCCCTACAATGTCTGTAATGTTCGCTAAGCTGCATTTTATTGAATATGGTTATTTCCCTGGAGGACTTTTATTCTGATTTATATCTATGATTTCACCTCCTGGGGGCGAGAACATTTTCCTAGGAAGAAAGATCCTGTTCCTCTATCCAAAGGAATAAAAGGGAGGTTCCCCCAGGCCTCCAGATTTTCAGATTTGGGTTGGCAGGCCGTCTGTATGTGCTCCGATGTCCCCATTTTTGCTCTCATCTCTTCTTGTTATTCTTGCTGCTTTAATAGTCTGTTTATAAGCTCCATGAAGAAAGGACCAAGGCCAGTCTGGCTCACGGTGCTATCCCCAGCTCCTGGCACGGTGCCTGGCCCCGAGAAGATTCCTCAGTACTCCCTGTCGAATGCACATGCATGCGGCCCCTCTCGGGGTCAGCCCAACCTTGGCTCCGCGGAGTTGGGAGAGCAGACCATCCACACTCTGAGCTCGCAGCAGGAAAGGGGTTTCAAGATGACGAATGTTGATACAGACAAGCTGGAGTCAACCTCTCACCCTGAGATCTGTTTTTGCAATCTATAAAGGGCAAAGGGGATCTCTTGCGAATGTCTGTCAGGAGCCAAGAATTTGAACTTGCTACCCTGGCTGCTACACTTGTATGGCTTCTTTCCCAGCTACGGTGGTAAATTTGTGTCCCAAGCTAGTTCTGGAGAATTCAGTGCCCTCGGTAAGCTCCCACAATGGCGGGCTTCTGGGGCAGGCTTTGGGATACTGAGATCTGGATGTGCGGTGTGACCCGAGTCTGCCCCATGTCAGGGGTATCATCTGTACCACTGCCGGGAGTGAAGGTCCCGGCCCCTCAGACACCTCCCACCCAGTCTCACCTGCCCTCCCAAGCCCCCTGTGGCTTACCACTAAGAGGGTGGGGAACGGTGAACTGCTTCTTGTTGGCGCGGACAGGAAAGAGACTCTGCTTCTGCCCCAGGTTCTCCTTCCGCTGGGCTTTTCTCTGCTGTACCATGTGTTCCAGCTTCTTCAGCCGTTCTTGGGAACGAGAAATGAACTGGGGTTTCCGGACTTGCAGCGCTTCCTGACGGCAGCAAGAAAATATTTTATTTTTTAATAGAAGTGATGCCGGCAAGTAATACATCTCTCGGATTTGGTCAAGAAGCTGACCAAAAGCACAAGCTTTAAGGACGACCGGCCACAGTGTACCCGCACCCCAAGATTGTCTGCCCCGCCTCCTGTGGAGACTGTGACAGATGTGTTGACGATGTAGATCCTGCTGGCCGTCCCCTCTTGCCCCAAGGGCCCTGATGCAGCGTGACTGCCTAGCCGCTGACAGCGAGGCGGCAAGCTTCTACCCGTCCCTTCCTCCCTGTCCGTCCATTCGGTTTCCAACAGCCTGAACTCGGAGTGCCCTGAGCTCCAAATTCCAGAGAAATGGGGTGGGGAGGGAATGAAGGCATCATGAGTCACTTGCTTCTGCTGGGGGCTGGAAGCCTCACGCGGACACGGATCACCCACCCAGCATGAAATTCATGCCTATTCAGGAGAAACTGTCATCCTGGCTAATAGGAGTGTCTATTCCCAGGGAGAAAAAGCTGGCCAAGTAGCTTTGCATATGCAAACTGGTTCTCCAAGCTTTATAGGGGAGGTCTCCATGGCCAGACCTCCGTGTCAGCCACGTCCCTCAATATACATGCCCCAACCCCTGCACTAAGCCACATACTCTGGTCCACTGACAAAGAGAAACCACCACGGAGGCATTCCACTCCGTGTCAGACCCTGGGCTACGTGCCTTACGTGGATTCATCTCTGGGAATCCCCACATAGATTCTGAACAGCATATATGCTTCTCCCCATTTAACAGATGCAAAACCCAAGGCTTGTAGTGGCTTGGTGGATCTGAGCGATGCCCATGTTTTCTCCACACTGCCTTTTGTGGTCTTAAGTCGCCATTCCTTGAAAACCTCTGTTTGGGTTATTCCACTGCCTGGACTAAGACCCCAGTCACACCCGTCAGTGAGAATCCCAGCTCTCCCAGTGAGCTCTGTCGGGCCTCCCCATTCAGCCTGAGCCCTGTGGTTCCTCACAGACCACGTTGTACAAGGGATCCATGTACACTGAGAGCCATGCTGGGCTGTGAGCTCCTGGACGGCGTGGGCCACGGCCCATCCACTCTGTGTCCCTCCCTCCACTGCCCTGAGCCCTGCACATAGTAGGTGCTTAGCAAGGCCTCTGGATATGCCACCATGGCAGACCTGTTCCTCAGCCTCACTCCTTGCCCAGCCCATTGGGAGCTCAGAGTTCCCGTGGGGAGGGCAGCGCAGACTCCACCTGCATCATGGAAGTGGCCTCAGCAGCTGCACCAGGAAAGGAGTCTTCTCGGCCACCTGGTCTCCACGGCACCATCCCTTGGTCCCAGACACGCTAGGGCTGCACAGAGAGCCCCTGGGAACAGCCTACTGGCCCAGTGTGGCTGCCCTGGGGCCATCAAGAGTCTCTTACCAGGGACTGACCGAGGACCGCCGGGATGCAGGGACCGACCAATGGCACCATGTCCACACCTGCAGGGACTTTCCTGGACGGTACGCCTGAGTATACAACATCCTGCTGGCGGGAGCTTTCTCGAGGTTGTCTGCTCTTCTTGTTTATATACCTCTATAATTTTGAACTTTAAGAAATGTGCACATATTCCTTCTACAACCAGGAACAGACACCAAGTGAAAGGTTTCATATCCTTGATCTCATGGCCATGTGATTGAGGGCAACCTCCTTAATCTTTCCAAAGCTTAATATCCTTGCATGAAGAGGGGATCATAGGGACCGGTGGCCCATTGGGGGGCGGTGCGGGTGGAAGGCTCTGATGCCTATGAGGTGACCTGCCCAGTATCACCTGTCACTTCTCGAGAAATGCTGTCCCTGCTATGATCATTGTTACTACGGGATCCTCATTCTAACCCAGCCGGAGTAGACATCATTTCTCCGTCACTCGCACTGTCAAACAGAGGCCCAGAAAGGTCAGGGGACCTGCCCAGAGTCACACAGTCATTACGGAGGGAGTTAAGCCTCCAGTCTCAGAGGTGAGAGTGAGACAATGCCCACATGGACTTGCCTGGAGAGGCGCCCCCTCCGTGGGGGTCTGGACTTACCTGCAAGGTCAAGGAGCCTGCAGGTGTTCGTGGACTCTCGGAACAGTCTTCGGACGGGTCAGGGGTCTCTGGTGGCTCAGGGGGTGCCGGCTCCGGGGGCACTGGTTTGGGGGGTGCTGGCTTGGGGGCCGCTGGCTCGGGCTCCTCGCTCTTCCTGCATTCCTTTATTTTTACAACCAAGTCACAGCACTTGTAGTCCCCTGGGGAGAAGATTTAGAATTCCATTTACAGGGGCAGCAAGGTTTTCCCCTGGCTCCTCAGCACCATGAGACACAGAAGACGATTTGGAAAATAGAAACCCCCGTGGCTTATTAATGGGCCTCGTTAAGCCGATGAGATCCTGCCTCAACAGACCGTCCCCCTCCCCCCAGCTGCCCTGGTCACGGGGAGGAATGTCCATGGGTCACCGGACTTGGCAACCGGCTACTTGCACCACGGACGTATTCCCTCGGCTTCCAGGGTTCAAAATGCCTTTGTTCACAACGAAAAGAAACTTTTCTACTCCGGGCTTCCTATTACGTGTGCCCTGTACAATTATTACAGCTCAGTTGTTTGGGACCACGTGTTAATTTATCTTACGTTTGCTACACTGATGATGTAAGACCGAAGGACGGTGCTCCGTTATTTATCTCTTCCCTTCGTTTGCCAGTGGTCACCCCTGCTTTACGTGTATAATTGGAATGATCTCCCTCTCTCTCTCTCTCTCTCACTTTCTCTCTCGATGCTGGATCTGGCCACTTGTCAACGCCATTTTGACCTTCCCTTGTGGAAAAGGTCAGGGAGCGCATGGAGTCAACAGCACTTTGGGCAGGGCAGCCTCTGGCGTATGGAAGGATGGATTAACACAGATTCACTGACCCCTTAGTGAGCAGCTGCTCCGCCAGGAACACACTGTCCCTTCCATCTGGGCCAGCCCACTCTCCCTAGGTGAGCTCCCCTGCCCCCCTCCGCACCATCCCCCGACACCGCCTCCCCCACCCCCAGCCCTGAAACTCAACAGCATCTTACTCCTCACCCATATGTCCTCCTCTTGCCACAAAGTCCCTTTGATTCCTGGACCCAGGGTCCTCCGACCTACAGGTTGAGCCCCAATCGTTAGGAAGTGCCCCCTTCCCAAAGCAGGCTCCATTCCGCCCGCCGTGTGTCCGCGCGACAGAACACGCGTCACACACCCAGCAGCACTGGTTACACGGGAGGGTCATAACAGGATGTTTTGACACCACAAGCCTGTGGCTCCTCTGAGGGCTGGACCACGTCATAGTCACCGTGCATCTCTCCATGGGGGCAGCCCAGGAGCCTGCCAGGAGCGGGCTCTGTCAGGAGTGGAGAGGGGCCCTCAGGAGGCCTGTGGGGCCGTGGGTTGCATCTCCGTGGTCCCCTGAATCTCTTACATGAAGCCCCTGCTAGAGCACCTGCTGTCCGTGCCTGGAGCCCCTCTGGCCCGAGCCAGCGGTCCTCGCTCTGACACGAGTCCACTCCATCCCCTGAGACCCTCAGGTCCCGCAGGCAGCCCGGTGGTCCCGCAGCTTGTTCGCGGCAGTTCCGTTTCCAGCTATCGCCTTGCACTCGGGCCCAACAACATACGACATGGAGGCTCCCAAATCGTTCTCTTTCCTTCCTGCAGGCATTTGCTCTTGTTCTTTCTGGAGGGTCTCCCTGTTGCTCCCCTATTCCTGCTTCCGGCCTAAGCGGCAGGTCCAGATATCCACCCCCCAAGTCCTCTGCAGCCAGAGGTAACTACACACCTCAGACCACGCTGTCCCCCTTTCCTGCCATGGATTTTCCTCTGCTTTACCTCAACCACAGGGATGCCACGGTGCCTCGCATCCTTTCCTTCCTGCACTCCACCACCAGAGCCCGCAACCCAAGGGCGGTGTAGGCATGCCCGTGTCCATCAGTGCTCACATCAGTGCTCCCTTGTGTCTTCAAAGTCTCACCACTGTGGCCTCTCCTCCAGTCTGTGCTCCTTGGCAGGGCCTCAGCCCACCGCCTTACCCTCTCTCTTCTGTCCCACACCACCCCCCATCGTCCAGGACAGAGTCTCCTTCAGAGCAAATCTAGCTGTCTGCCCCTCAAGGGCTTGGCCCCGCCTTTAGTCCAACCCTGAGTGAGTTTTAAGGATTTTCCAACTTGACCTCATGACCTCAGACTCTCATTAAGCCCCCTCCAGCCTCCTAGGACTTTGGGCCCCCTGGATCTCAAATCAATCGTACCCTATCAACTCTTTGCTTTGTGCACGGCTTTCCCTCAGTCTTCCATGCTCTCAGGTCAGATTTATAAGCTCCTAGTCAGCTTTCAAGTCCATGCTCAGAATCATTTCCTCGAGGGCATTTCTGTCCGACCCCTCCTTGGGACCCCTGTGGCTACCTGTGGCTTCCTAACAGCTTTCCACAGACACAGGTATGACTTTGCTGTCTCCAGCATTGGTGGGCAGGGAGCACCGAGCATGGTCACTGACTCACAGTAGGTATGTCTGTAGTAGGTGTTTAATAAATGCTTCTTTAACGTACTAACGGATGAAGAGCTAAAGATTGACTTGGCTCCCGAGTGAAATTAGTCTTATCAACTACCATAGCCATTTTAACCTTTGTTCCCCAGAGATCTATAACCCGTTGCCTTTGTTTCCGTCCTCACCCGTAGCGGTTTGGGAGGGTCTTCACAGTGACAGGAAATCTAAATTTTCTCCCTGAAACCGGGCACCACAGATCTCTTTTCCATTCTACGTCTATAGTCTTATATACCGGTGCTCACCGCAGTATTAGTAGGGGTTGGGGCTTGGCCTTAGAGAAGGGGTGGCTGGGTTGAGTTCTTGGTTCCTTCCTCGGTGTGAGGCTCAGACTGGGACCTGCCTGGAGGACACTGTGGGGCCTGCAGCTCTCAGCCATAATCTTTGCTAGTCAGGCACAGAAGACCACGGGCAGCCTGGTGGACCTCAGAGCAGCCACACCAGCACCACAAACCTTCCTCAGTTAGGTCTGGGAGCCTGCCATATGCCTGGGAGTGGCCTTCCTTTTGGCCTTGGTGGATATTGAGCTGGTGCACAGCAGAGCTAGGATCCCTGACCTACACAGGGGTGTCTTCTCCCTGCTTGGGAGGGAGGGCTCACCCACCACGGAATGCTGCAGGTTCTCTTGCTCATGACTCACGCGGTCCAGAAGGGACAGCTTTATGAGGTAAGATTGTGTGAACCAGGCCTCAGGAAGACATCAGACCATTTTCCTTATGAATACCAAGGAGGAATCACCTCCACCCTACCTCCCTCGCTCCTTACCTGTGGGGATCTCTCTTTCTATCTGAACATCACTGTCTTCCTGTGGAGATGTGCATAAATCTTGTAAGGGGCAAAGAAACCCAGATAAAGGGATTCCGGACTTCAGGAAGCTTTGCTGTTGACTCTCTGAGGGCTCAGAGAAGTTGCTAGACTGACAGCTGTTGCTTGGAGAGCTATACCCATCGGGAAGGAACTCTTTAACCAGCTTCTGTTCCACTGGGGGAGCAGACAAAGTCCCACGTGCTTCTCCTTGTTGCTTCTTGCTGCTTCCAGAAAACACTTTTGCTTCTACTAAAAATAAAACAAGAGTTGTGCTCAAAACATCTGATGAGTGCACCTCAAGGGTACTGACTTTGGCACACTTTGCTCGTCATGGGCTGTAGCACTCCTCCAGAAGGCCTGAGCCGTGGCAGCGGGAGTGGGGGGCAACGTTCATGGGCTTGGGCAGCATTCGTCACGTGATCACGTACTGGATAGGATCTCCCCCAGCTCACTGAGAAGCTCCACTGTATACACCATTCTCATGCATCCGGTCTAAAGACTGTGCTTGCCAGTGCCCTTAGAAACTCAGATGACTTTCTCAACACTAGGCAAGAGAGTGGGTGGGTCAGCACACCGACTGTGGGGCCAGAGTACCTGGGTTCAAATCCTACCTCTACCACTTCTAAGTTATCCGGCCCCATCTATAAAACTGAGGTAATCACATTAAATATTACTTATTTATTATTATGTCTATTTTCATAAGATGTTCATATAAGTAGTAACACATTTATACAATTTATGTAATTTTCACAGAATAACATTATATCAATTAAAATTGAGGCAATACGAAACAACAATGAACTGTGTAAGGTGTTTAGCACAGCACCTGATACACAGTAAGCTCTTAATGAATGTTACCCATCATTATTAACGCAGAAACACTGATGGAGGGTTTGTACTATGGCAAGTACAGGGGTAGGAGGTAAGTTACGAGGTCACGGTGCAGACTTCTCATAAAGCAGTGGATCGAAAATGTATACAACATGTTGCTTGTTGCCCCACTGTCCTACCAAGAGTCTAGAAGGCACCTGCTGCCTGTCAATGGGTGACTATGAGATCCTAGGGCTCCCACGCTCCTCAGCAAAAGAACAGAATAGGGCAAATGCTCTTGGGCAGATGTGGAGTACGCTCGGAAATGTGTTAACAGGTGAACGAAGCAAAATTTGAGACTGTGTATCAGGTCTGCTTCCACTGCTAAGTGCTGATATACTCAGGACATCCCCGGAAGGACCCAGAAGGTGCTGGACACCTTGGGACCTCGAGGGCAGTGCAGGACTAGGAGCTGGGAATGGAGGGAGAGACTTCCTTTTCACTGTTTGCCTCCTTTATACTCTTGGGTTTTTTGAGGGGGGAATACTCTATAAATGTTTAAAGTTTATTCACTTTAAGTAAGTTAGTGATTCTTCACCAGGCATCATCTCCTATGTTAATTCCCCCTAAGGGGTAGGGCCCCACCTCGGGGAGAGAATCCCTGCTGCCAGGAGCTTGTGTCCCCAACCTCCTTGGGTACTGGGAAGAAAAAAATCTCCTAAGGACCACTGGAATAAATAAAGACACTTAGAAGATACTTGCAGTATTTTCTCAGATGTCCTGTGCAACAAGGGAATGAGCCCACAAGCACCTGGCATTGTTCAGAACGGGGACCTGTTTTAAAATATCTCAGCTGTCTGCACTGCTCCAGCCCCTCTGTCCCTGAGCCCTGGTGTCCCCAAAAATGAGAACAGGTTGAGTGTGGCGATACGGTACAGGGCAGCGGGAAGAGCAGAGGACACAGAGGACTCTCTCAAGTGTGCTCCCTGGCTCGGGGATCTGGGGCAAGGGAATCCACAGGGGCTAAAGCTGGCTTTCCATGTTCTTATAAACAAACAGACAAAATGAAGGAAAGCACCTAGTGGGTCCCAGCACATTGGGGGTACTGTGAAAATGGCGGTTATTTTTGGTCCTGTCATTTGGAGAGGACACATGGTCTCCTCCGGTAAAGGTTGGGCTTTGCTCATTTGTACAGAAAGTATCTTTCTAAACTTTTATTTCAAAAATTGCCAATTCTGTTTAAGTATGAAATGCCATAAGCAAAAAGTCTCAAAATAGTTATTGTTTTCTATGTTGCTTCGTTTTAGGAGAAGCTCTCATTAAAGAATCAAAAATGAAATCCATGAACAGTGGGGCAGTCCCAGTCTGCTCCTCGCCCCGGTGTCGGGCTCTTTAAGGGAGACATACCTACCGCCCTACCTATCAGGTACCCATCAATCTGGTTTCATAGAAACTCTTATATGAAGCTTTCGGTGAAGGTCAGATGGGTCCCCTCATGTCTTGGAAGAGTTAAAAAGACTCCCAGAAAGTAGAACGTGGTTGGTGTGCTCCAGAAGAGAAAGATACTCGGTCCAAGAAGGACTCCCTGACAACTTATTGCTCAGATCTCTTTTCGTGGATTCTGAAAAGTACAACCATCAGCCACGGAATTACCCTCAGGCGGGCCTCACAAAGCAAAAATGTGCCCATCGTTTCTCCCATTAGGCCCTGCATGTGGGTTGGACTGAGAGTTCTCCATTCGTGCCCCCAATTTGAAACTCAGTCATCCCAGTGATGGCCCATTGCACTGCCGGCTCTGCCCTTCTTGAGAGTCTTAAGAGAAGCGTGAGTAAATCAGCCACCTCTGACAGGCATTTCTTTCTTGGACTCAAACTCAAAGCTTCCTTCCCGAGCCTGAATTTGGAAGAGTTGGAGCATTGCAGGTTTCCTTGAAATAGTAAGGTTCCCTCTGTTATTTCTTCTCAAATGCATTACCCTGGAGGATCCTGGGCAGCTCAGTCCGTGAAGCATCTGCCTGTGGCTCAGGTCATGATCCCAGGGTCCTGGGATCGAGCCCCACATCTGGCTCCCTGTGCAGGGGGATCTGCTTCTCTCTCTCTCTCCCTCCGCCCCTCCCCCCGGCTTGTGCACACGCACTCTATCTTTCTCTCAAATAAATAAAATCTTAAATAAAATAAAATGCATTACCCTACGGGTTGGTCTTCTATAGCTCTAGTACTGAGCAAACTCACCTATCCAAAATTGTGCCATGCTCCGGGAGGTGAACAGAAAGCAATGAGAGATCCTGCCCAATGAGTATCTTGTATATAATTTTCCCACCTACGTCAGTATCCATAAACAATAGGTTTCCAATACCAAGAGCAAGCTCAAAGCTAGTTGTTTTCAGGTGAGGATGTCATTGCACCTGTTACTCAAAAGCTTCCGGGAGGAGAGAGATCAGTCAGCAGGCGGGCTCGGCCACAGCTTCCCTGAGAGCTGATGGGGCACGATTCTGAGAAAGACATAGGTAAGCCACAAATGAGTCTGGAACACAAGGGGCTGACCACAGTCTGGACAGCAGGCAGGGCTGGCCAGCAGGAAGAGAGCCAGGGGAGTGGGCTGCTCTGGACTTTGTGTTCCTGCCCTCACCGGGTGTGACAGCGGGACACATCTCTGCGGTGAGATGTGGCCTCCGCTGACCCAAGCACAGGGCAGGGAAGGGAGTGAGGACCTCCGGGACACACACAGCATCTCAGCCAACCAAGATCCATGAACCTGGACCAGGAGAGGCTGCCACTAGGTCCTTAGCACAAAATGAGGACAAGGCACCCCTTCCCCAAGACACTTTGCCTCCATTGGCTGGAAAATATAATGAACCAATCTGATAGAAAAAGATACTTCACTGATTCTTTCCAAATATTAAGGCAATGCATAATCTTTTATGTTCTTTTTCTTTCTTTTTTTTTTTTTTTTTGAGAGAGAGAGAGAGAAAGAGAATCAAGTAGGGGTGTGGGGAGAAGGGGAGAGGCAGACAGAGTATCTTGAACAGGCTCCACACTCAGCACAGAGCCTGACGCGGGCTTTATTGCGGGACCCAGAGATCATGACCTGAGCAGGAATCAAGAGTCAGACACTTAACCAACCGAGCCACCCAGGTGCCCCTCTAATCTTCTATGTTCTTAGGGGAGGCCCTAATGAGCCATTATCCCCTCTCTGGCCTCCAGTCCTGCCTGTGACAACTCGGCTCAAACGGAAGCTAGAAAATGGGCAATGGTTGCTAAGAAGGACGGGCCCAGCAGTGAGAGTCCGTTAGTGAATCGCAAAGGGAGAGCTCGGTGGGGGTGGGGAACAAAAACAAAATAGGGAAACACACACATGAGCCAGAGAGGATGGTTGTCTGGGGGATGCTGAAGAGCCCAAGGCAGGCAAGTCACCAACAGAATACATTTTAGAGTCATTTATCCCCAGATTAGTTTAGATTTTGTTCTAGGTGTTTTGGCGTTGAAGATGGAACTCAGCTCCTAGGCAAGGTCCTGAGGGTTGGGGCTACTTCTGCGCACCTTCCTGCCTTCTTAAAACAGAACGAACCCAGCCAATGAGCCACAGAGACATTTCTGAACAAAGCCAGCTTCCCGGAATCCAAGGCATATATATATTTCCTCCCACATTTCAGTGTTCCTGCTGGGGATATCCCCCCTTGAAAGTTGGACCATCTTACAAATGACCGGGTCTTAGAGTAACTTAATGTCTCTGGGTCATTGATAGAAATACAAGTCTCTAAACTATAGGGCGAGCCTAAGGATCTCCTAGAGGGTGATGCTATTTGCCCTGCAGTCCCGACTGCCCTCCCCCGTCACCACCTTATTAAAGCTCTCACGTCTGCATTTTCTGTACAGTTTACCTAACTCTTCCAACAAATCCCGGAAGCCCCGCATCTCACTGGAAACCAAAGAAGTAAGCTTGACGGGCCTGTGTGTCAATCAGTCGGAAAGACACCTCGGTAGCATCCTGGGCTCAACGGCAGATTCTCCTCGCTTCCAGCAGGACTTCGCTGTCCCCAGTTTTGGCACAGGGACCCAGAAGGCTGCCACCAAGGGGGAAGACGGGGCCTTCTCTGCACAAGGCATGCTAATTTTTGGACACGGAGGCTGATGCAGGGAGAGAAGACGCAGGACAATGGACGCTCAGTGGCACCAAACTTCTTCAGCAAGGGCTCTGCTCCGTTCACCAGAGAGAGAGAGAACCTTCATCCACCTCCAACTACCATATGCAGAAGGAGAAATCAAAGAAAGTCAATTGGGGACCCACCGAGGAACCACCGAGAGAGAAAAAAGAAGAGTGTTTCACAATGAGCAAGGTCGGTGGAGGTTTTGTCCCTTTTACGTGTCAAGGCTTGATCTCTGGGCCGCCGGCAAAAGCTCACGTGGAAATGGGTCTCCTCGTGGGATGCTGCATCCCAC